ATATATATATAATATTGACTATTTATTTATACATGGTTGTACTCGCCTCATGTTGTAATTTGTAAATTAATTAAAAGCATGACAATGAAGATTGATAAGGTGACTAAATGCGATTTTATATTTTTGCCCTTAGAAGTCAGACATACTATTGAATCTTTACGAAGAGGCTGAACCTAATGGTTATGAGAAAGTCCGGATAGCTAAACTGATACTTTACAAGGTTAGTCATCTATCTGATCACACATATTAACATTAAATATTTACAAGAAAAGATGAACGAAGAAGTAGAAAATCTTTTGGTGCCATGGCTTTTTTCCTTCATAATTTTTTATTGAATTTTTTAATAAGCTAAAGGTTTCATAGCTGATTCCCTAGTGAAAAATTAGGATACTACCATTTTACGTCGGACATACAAATATCTGACGTAATAAAAATATAGTGGCATGGTTAGTAATTTTAGTTAAATTATTTACGTCGGACCTCCTAGGATCTGCCGTAAATTTTAACATCTCCGTCGGTTATGCATTGTGTCTGACGTAGATGATAAAATTTACGTCGGACCCTACTAGGACCGACGTAAATAATCATGGTTCATCAATTAAAAGGAGGGTCGCGCGATGGTGATTTCAAAAATTTAAACCCAAACTCATCTCTCGCGTCTCTTCCTTAAATCGTGGCTGCTCCTGGATAAGCTTGGGATCCACCCAGAGCAAAACTGGAGCAAAATTATATTCGTACTGATTTTTGGAGCGATAGCGACAGCGTCATAGCATATGCTTCTTTCTTGATTTGCACTATGTTTTTGTTGCTTGTGATATTCTAGGGTTGTTGGTGATGTTTGGTTGTTTTACTTCTTCTTGCATTTTGAACCTTGTAATTTTTTGGTGTAGTCATGTTACGAAATAGGAAATGGAGTTATTGCCCTTGATTAAAAGGTTCTGTTTAAAATAGTTGTTCCTAGGTTCACTTAATTACGGGTGTATTTGTGGAAGTATTTTGGCAGATCTTTTAGTAATTAAGGATTTTTTATGTGGCTGTTTGCGTTGTATTCTGAGTTTTTGAAGTTGGAGAAGGAAGTGGCCAAGTCCAGGTTGCAGAACGGGCCGTTCTGCTTGGAGAACAAACCGTTCTCCAACCAGAACTGCCCGTTCTGATTGAAGTTGTTTTTCCTTTTTTTTTTAATAAATTTTTTTACAACTTTTTACGTCGGACCTTGTAATGTCCGACGTAAATCTACGTCGGTTTTTGCACCCCGACGTAAATTTACTTCTCCCACTTCAACGTCGGAGCTTTTACCGACGTAAAACTCCTAAAATAACCGACGTAAAATGTGTATTCTGTACTAGTAATTTTTGTTTTTATAACTATTTTTTTTTATTGCTGATAATTTTAAATACAACAACATTAAATTTGAGGACGTAACACTAAGAGTGTGTTTTCCTTTTAAAATTATAAATTTCAATTTTGACATTAATTTTTTTTTTCCATTTCAAATATTAATCATTTAGAGTATCATTTCAATTCATTTTTTTTGACATTAAAGTTTATCTTTTTATTTTGATATATTGATAATCTATTTTTTTTACATTGCTAATCAATTACAAATTATTTTAAATGACTTTTAAAATAATTAATATTACAAAAGACAATAATTTTTTAATTATTTAATTATCCATGATTGTATAACAATATAAAAAGTTATTACATTGTCGCTATACTCCAATAAAATTATAAATTTTATTCTTATATCCAATCCTTCTCGATTCGTCAAGTGTTTGCTTGAATATTTTAACGAATAGAATGAATGAATGAAATTGAGTAGGATAGGGGAAAAATTATTACATATTTTTTTCGAATTTTTATTAATAGAAAAAATGTTTCAAATATATAAACAAAAACATATTCATAAGGAGAAACATGTTTATAAAAAAAATATGTCTTTTATTGTAAAAATCATTAGTAAATTATATATTTTAATTTACCAATATATACTTATAAAAGTGATTTAATTTATCTATCTAATTGAAGTTAAATTTTCAAAACTAACACTTAAATATCACTTTCAATTACAATAGCATTTTTTTTTTAATTTTCTTAAACACCAATATCTAATTGAAATTATCCTTCAAATTTAATTTTTTAAAACATTAATTTTTTAAAATTAATTTTATCTGATCTAAATCAAAGTCCCAAAACATGATTATAAGTGTATTTTTATTATTATTTACATTAATTTAAACAACCGTTGATCTTAAAAGACAGAAATTTTTATTTCAGTTTCATGCTTTGGAAAGTAATTTTTTATCTATGGGGACTGGATACGAGTATCAAGAAAGTTCACAACATTCATATTCATGTATATTGCTTAACCAATTGATCTAGACCCAAATTATGAACTCTCATTTATAGTGATGCTAATAGGTTTTGAAACCCTAAGGTGTGAACTCCATGTGCAGGCCATTGTACACACCGCATTGGAAAATAAGAAAGGCTGGAGGAAAGGTGAAATCCGTGTGCAGGCCATTGCACAATCCATGTTGGATAATAAAGCATGGCCGAAAGAAAAGGAAGCAGTGGAATGGAGGACAACATTCAATAAAATTGATAATTAGGGTGTGACTTGTGAGGGTCATGTTGCTACCTAAGAGAATAATACAACACAGAACCATTTCATTCATTCGTAACTTCTTATATTTTCTTTTAGTTAGTTGTAGAAATCATATTGTATAAATACTGTAGTAACCCAATTTCGTCCGGGAAATGTCAATTTTTGTTTAAAAAAAATAGAAAAAAAGGTATATTCAAAAAAGAATAAAAAAGACAAAAATACGTAAGTCAAATGTAACACCTCATTGTTTATACTTTTATGGAGGGTAATTTAGTATTTTTCATAAAATTCCTAGCCCAGAACGGGCCGTTACCAATCTGGAACGGGCCGTTCTAACTTTCTAAAATGCCTTAAAATTTCTATACTGGAACGGGCCGTTCCAAAACTGGAACAGGCCGTTCCAACCTTCCAAAAAAGTCCTAAAATTTCTAGCCCGGAACGGGCCGTTCTGGTTTCAGAACGGGCCGTTCCAATCTTCCAAATAAGTGCTAAATTTCTAGCTCGGAACGGGCCGTTCCGGATTCAGAACGTGCCGTTCCAACCTTCCAAAAACACCTATAAATTCTAGCACGGAACGGGCCGTTCCAAAACTAGAACGGGCCGTTCCAGCCTTCCAAAAAGCCTAATATTTCCTGCCCAAAACGGGCTGTTCCCAAAAACTGGAACGGGCCGTTCCAACCTTCAAAAAGACCTATAATTTTTTTAGTCCAGAACGGGTCGTTCTCAAACTATCAAAAAACCCATAAATTCTAGTCCAGAACGGGCCGTTCCGAAATTGGAACAGCCCGTTCCAAAAATGGCTGTTGTGAGTAAAATTGCCACCCCGGAACGGGCCGTTCCGGTCCCTCCAGAAAGTCTATAAATAGCGCCCTTCCCCTTCCCACACACACATCTCTCCCCCCTTGGCCTTCCCAAAGGACACCCACACACACCCTTCCCACACACATCTCCACCTTGGACCAGAGGGAACCCAGAGAAGGAGACCCACTTCTGTAGCGAAGAATTGTGAGTATATTAAACTCATTTTTTTTATTTTTTTATTTTTACATTAGTAATATCTGCTTTTAGTCCTTATTTAAATTCAAAATTTGATTAAATATCATAATATAGTTTTACAATATTTAATGTAAATATATGAAATTATTGTATCAAAAATTTTATTGGAGAAATGGTTAATTAGATGTGACATCTTTTTAACTTTTGAATTTAAAGTACAAGTTGTGACAGCTTATCTTTAAATTTTTCCTCCAAAAACAAAAATGTTCAACCAAGAAATTTTTTAACATCATAACATCTCTAGCAATAATTATAATTAAAATTTTATTGAATTGACTTTGGTGTACACCTTAGTCAATATTATATTTTTAGGTGAATGAGCTGAGACAGTTCAAGAATCCTATATTTAACAAAAATAAAATTTAATAAAAAATGTCAACACACAAATATTTTCTATCAAAGAACTACGTGACTCTGATTCTTCATTACACATGAAGATACGTAGGAGCAAGAACTAAATCTTGTCGAGCCAAAAAATTAAAAAATATATTATCCTCCTTTTTATATAACTAATAATTTTAACCTTTTTTCAACGCATAATTTAAATTAATTAAATAAAATATATTTGATAATTTTAGTGAGATAAATATTTTATAAATTATGAATAATTAGTTTAATTAATTAAAAGGTAATCGTCTTAGGACGAACGTTGTGAGGTGCTAATACCTTCCTCACACGTAATCGACTCCCGAATTCAAAAATTTGGTTTTTGTAGACTATTTTCTATTTTATGGTTTTTCCAATGTTTTTCCGTAAAAAAATAACATTGGTGGCGACTCCTCTTTTTCAACTTATTTTTTGCCGTCCCGTCGCGACCGAGGTTGCTACAGATGGCGACTCCACTGGGGACATTTTTGAGAGGCAAGCCTATAATAATTAGTTAAACTAATTAATAATTTTTAAAAATGTTTATCTCACTTTTATTTTATTTTATTATTATTATTATTTTTTTTTGTTTATATCTCTTATTTTTTGTTTGTTTGTCTTATTTGCATGAATTATATAAATATGTGTTGTGAACTTTAGGGTAAAAGAATTTTATTTTCTATAACATATGTGCTGTGTTTTGTAGATTGGATAGTGTAGGATTGCTCCTTTCACACACTTCACTTGCACAATTTCACACACGTTTATGAGTGGGGTCCTATGCCCGGACTTGAGTGCAACTTAGGATAGTAAGAGGTTGAGTAGTAGTAACCTTCTTGATGAACATCTTGTTTGGTTATTATGAAGGCCTCACTTAGAGTTTGATCCTTTCAAAGGTATTATCGCCTCTAATAGTTTACCTATTATTGTGACTAATATCCTAAGAAGGGTTATTGGCTCTAGGAACCTGTGTTAGAACTATAGTTCCACCCTTTTGAGAGGAACACATATTAGTAGTCCGTAGAGTTTTTCAACTTATGGATACCCTTATTAAGTATCACGCGAGCAAATTCTACCTCTATGTTCGAATGACGCAAAAAAAAAAAACTTTTATTCCATTTCATAATCATACATTTATCTTTTAACTTTTATCATATCTCACGCTCCTTCAATATAACACTCATCACAAAAAAATTATTCATGCATGCATGCATTCATCTACATTTCATAATTCATTCATGATATACATTTTACATCTTTGCATAAAAAAAATAATACTTTATGAAATCATTCATACAACTCTAAAAGATTACAATTGTCATCATCTTTGACACTTGTTTCTTAAAGAAAATGAATACAGTTCTCTCTTGCATAATTCAAAGTAAGATCATTATTCCATTTGAGCATTTAGTCTAAAATGTATCTCATAACATTCAATATTTTCATAATTTTTCATGACATTCATGCATAAACATTATTTAGATTAAGTAATCATGTTACGTATATCCATTAGGCATATCGATCATCTTTTCTCGTCATAATTGCATTTATTCTCACTTAATCATCGCAAGTCAAATGCATTTGTTTCTATAAAAAAAAAAATTCTTTCATTTCAACATTTTTCCTTAATAGATGCATTTCATAGTAAAATAAAGGTTTAACTGATTGCTCACTCATGTCATTTTTTAAAAAATAACTATCTAATTTGATTATTTTCTTTTAAAGAGAATGTCGAGCAAAAAAAAATTTATGCAATGTCTCAAAAGAAAAAGAAAAAACAGGAAACAGAGAAAATGGGGAATAACATGAAATTATTATTCTCACTTACATTTAATTTTTAATCGAGAAGATGAGCTATTTGACAATTTAACTTGTCAATTGGCGTGGTTTGAAAGCCATTGTTAACCCTTTGAAGTAATTATTTCATTAATTTGCATAACAAAATTGTCATCTTTATTGTCATAAATTGTCTTTGTCTCATTATATCTCATAGTTTCCTCATTATTCTTCCAAAATTAAAGAGTTTGTCCTCATAAAAAGTCAAATCTGTTGGATGATTCTCAATTAAAAAGTTTGACAATAGAAATTTGAAGATTTCTTATTGGGGAAAATTTATCATTTTATGAGTATTTGTCCCACCAACTATCACATTTAATGGAGACAAGTCTTATGAGCAAAAAAAAAAAATGAAAAAATGTAAAGTCCGTTAGACTGAAAACCCAAAAGGGCGGTCTAAGCAAAAGTTAGGACAAACAAAAAAAGAGGATAAAAAAAAGAAAGAAAGAGTAACATGGAGTCCATTAAGTTTTGTCTTAGGATCAACCTTTAAAAAATAAGCAGTCAAGATTTGAAATGATATCTGACCATGTTTCTCTATCTCCAAAATATATATATCACTTGCCACCCAAATTTGAGCCTAAAAGTGAAAATTTTCTTCAATTACCTTAAACAAGGCTCACCCTCAAAACAGGGGCAACACAATTTAATTCAGCTTGTTTATGATTCCATCAAAACAATGAAGATGAAAAAGAAGAGAAATGAACCAAAGGCATCAAAAAGGCCATTGTTTTATCCTTGAGGTAGCTTCTTATGCTAGTGTGACAAGCAATGTGGTGGTCAAGTTCATCAAAAGAGATTTAATTTGTTATTATAATGATCTATCAATTCACATCATTACTGACAATGGGACCAACCTGAACAACAAGATGATGAAAGAGTTGCGTGAATATTTCAAGATTCAACGTCATAATTCTTCACCATGTTGTCTTAAGATGAATGGGGCAGTAGAAGCAGCAAACAAGAATATTAAAAAGATTATTCAAAAGATGATGGTCACCTATAAGGATTGACACGAAAAACTTTTTTTGCTCTACAGGGATATCACATTTTTGTTTGCACCTCTACTGGGGCAACTCCGTATTCTCTGGTTTATGGTATGGAAGCAGTCATTCCCATTGATGTTGAGGTACCTTCTCTAAGAGTAATGGCCGAAACCAAACTTGAGGAAGCATAATGGGTTTAGGCTCGCTATGATCAGTTAAACCTAATTGAAGAGAAGAGATTGAATACCTTGTGTCATGGTCAATTATATCAAAAAGGATCAAGAGAGCTTTTGCCAAAAAGGTCCGCCCACAAGAGTTTCAAGAAAAAGATTTGGTATTGAAAAAGATCTTACCACCTCAAAAAGATCATAAAGGGAAGTGGACGGGAAGATCTATTGAACCCAATAAACCTTGATGCAGTCAAGAACTTCTATGCAAAATAATAACAAAAATAAAAAGCTCGCTAGGCTGAAAACCTGAAAAGGCAGCTTAGGCAAAATTTAGAGCGATCTGCTAGGCTGAAAACTCGAAAAGGGCAGTCTAGGCAAAAGTTAAGATCTAAAAAGAAAAATGAAAACAAATAAAAGAGCTCGCTAGGCTGAAAACCTCAAAAAGGCGGCCTTGGCAAAAGTTAGAGCAACCTGGTAGGCCGCAAACTCCAAAAGAGAAGTCTAGACAAAAATCAGGGTGAAAGAAAAGGAGGGGCGAAAAAAGAAACCAAATACACTATGGCAAAGATCCTTGTTCCAAATAACCTTCAAACACATTTGAGCCTTTGTATCCTTTCTTTCATGTCCATCTCACCGACCAGTCTTACAACCCGATAAAGTTCATACAGATCAAAAATTGGTTGTTTTTTTTTTTAAGTTTAGCCTTAAGACAAAACAATTGAATCCATCTATCACTGTTAAAATGATTGCTCCAAAAAAAATACAAATGCTCGTAAGACTTGCACATCCATTATATCATGAAGAGAAACAAACATCCAGTGCAAAATCTTCTATTCATC